TCACTAGAAACATCTTTGATATCCTCTTTTGCCCTCAGTGGAGTTGTCCCATGTCCCTGTGTTCTAATTATAAAATAATGTATGCTTAATATTACTTGTATGCTTTAAATTATAAAATGTCCTTAATATTCATTAATTTTAGTATAAAATTATATTCTTAATATTTAAAATACAGTGAATTTTTCGACATTCTTTTTTTTCTTGTTTTTCTTTCTTTCTTTTATGATGAGTAAAATATATAAAATAAATATATAAATTAATTTTAAAAAAGATGTGAATAGTTACTTTTTTAATATAAAGTGTTTATGAATTTAAAATTTGTTTTATGTGGTTTATAAAGTATATTAACCCTCTAACCGGATAGCAGGGAAAATTCCGTCAGTGTAAAGATGCTTCGAAAATGGATTGCACTGATTTTTCTGCCTTCAAGTAACGTTTTCAAAAGCGGATTAGCCGCACTTTTCTGAAATCCTTTCCCCCTTTTAACGTTTAACATCTTGAAAGATAATTGTTGACGGTGGAAGCAACACAGCAGGACACTGAGGGGAAGTTTTATGGCTCCCAGGAAACCCCATGTTTTGATCCTGGGGCAATCGTAAAAATCGGGGGGGGATTTCTTTAGACCTCAGGAAGTGTTTACTTGTTACCTCATATTTTAAAAGTTTTGAAAAGTCCCAACGCATAAGTAAAATATGTTACAATTCCCTTTTGGTTTCATATTAATTTGAAACTGTAACAAGTTGGGGTGTGTCAGTGCAATCTGCTATTTTATATAGTTAGACAAATTATCTTTTTTTAAGTATATTCTTTCGCTTCATTTTTCTTATTTTAATCAAAGCTTTCAGTTTTTGAAACATGATTATTTTATTATAAGATACCGAAAAAATTAATAAAACACCAAACTCTTTAAAATTTGAAACCTTTTCAATTTTCCAACCACTAAAAATGAATAAATTTAAACTTCATCAAATCATTTGAAACATTTTCTTACATGTTGATAAAAATAATAACGAAAAAAAAAAACTAATTAATATTTATTAGTTTTTTTTTTTTTTAGATTTCAAAGCCCAAGTGTTCAGGGAAGTTTAAGTACAGTGCCTAGTTACATATTGTTAAAAATACACCGAATTATATTTGAATTTTAAGTGCTTGAACTTCAGTTTACATCAAAGACAACATGAATGAAGATTTTCACACATTTTTTTATAACTTGAATGTTTGAATAAATGGTAATCAAAAATATACGGAAACATTTACAGTAGACATTTATGCATATAAATAAACATAAAAATCAATTTTAAATTCGAGCTATTCAAAAACATTCGAATTATTGTTCAAAAATATCTATTTATACAAAATACCTCAACATTTATCTTTTTTAAAGGCTAACTGAATAAGTAATTAAAATCTGGATATTTTTTGAAATCTCGACCGTATAAAGCTAGAAATTTTATGTTAGAAATTCCATTTGAAATTTCGAAAAAAAAATTCATCGCACAGTTAAAAATTATTTACCATAAGTTTTAGCAATTGTTTGAGTATAATAAAAATTTCAAATTTTATTATATAGCTTCTTTGGTATCTTTTAATATTTTTCGAAGATTTCATACAATTCAGTTGAAAACTGCATGCTAAGAGCAAAAAATATACTAAAAAAATTGATGAATATACAATTACAATAAATTCTTACATAGAAGCAAAACTGAGAAGCGCTAAAGCGTAGGAATGAAAAATTTTGAGTATATCTGAAGTAGTTTTCGAAATATTTATTTTAAAGTTCAGAAAATTTGTCTGCGTTATGTTATACTTAATATTAATTAAATGGTTAAAATAATATGTTAATATTAGTCATGTAATCGTTTGATGACACATTCATATACTAATAAAAATTATCATGGTCATTGATGCGAATGTCAAGAATTTTATGTAATTTTAAATTCAGACATTAAGATATTGATGTAGAAAATATAAAACGACCATCTAAAATACATGAAAAATGCAGTCTGCTATAAAAGGATCTTGACAAACAAAATCCAGCATTTTCACTTACTATGGCAGAGCCGGTTTAGTCAGGGGCGATCTGGAAAAACAGAGAGAGAACCGCGGTTTTGATGGATGCCGCTCTAGCTTTTAAAGTTCCAAGGAAAAATTATATATATATAAATTACAAATGCAAAAATAAATCTTGTAATTTTCCATACATTTTTATAACAACGAATTGTGGAATTGGCTTCCAATGCATTGTTGTGTTTGACAATATGTAAGGTAACCAACCCTACTTTAGATAGATTTGTACTACTTTTTCGTAACCCTATTCCTTTTAAAATTAATTCGTGCAGCCGAAATACACCTTTTGCACTCTTAAAAATTTATGTAAACTATAACGGTTAATTTTAATTTATGCAACTTGTGAAATGTTCATAATTAACCATTTCCGTCTAAACAGTTTTTTTTTTTTCATGTCAAGTTTGGACTCCCTCATTCATTAGGGATTTATATAAGATTCTAACATTAAATTTTATTTTTCACCGAATAGGATCGAGTGGTAGTGTATAGTGCTTCCACACCACAGGTCTGGGGTTTTCTTAACGGGCTGCGCAAGGTCGATTGACTCTGCCTTTCATCCCCGCTACATTGGGTCGATAAATGAGTACCAAGCTTGCTTCGGGTCTTAAACACTGAAGGTCTCTGTTCAGACAGACCACCAAATCGGGACATCTGTTCATGCACCTCAGCGTCCAATGGTCACTTGTATTATGATGGGCACAGTAGTTCCTGGCCCTCATGGATTGTTGTGCCACTGAGTTTAAGTCTTAAGTTTGAGGATTACCTCACTTTGGGGATACCCCTTAGATAAACATGTATTTCCACTCATTTGCAATTAAACATTTTTCTTTCAATTACGTTTATTTCAGAAGGAAGTTTGATTTTTCAAATGTATTTGCTTAATAACATGTATATTTGTGTATTATATTAAAAATTTGATCAATCCAAAATTACATGTTTTTAGCTCCTCTAAAAGCTTTTAGGATTTTACAACTGATCTTACAATCCATATACGTTTTATAGTAGTATATTTAAAAATGATAGACATTTTTACGACTGTGTGAGCTTTTATGCCTCGTTTATAAATATAAAAAATTGCATTCAGCTACAGTTTTTAAAATGTACTGAAATAAGTGGAGGAATAGGATACTTACATATTATGAATATTTTTGACAGCAGTAAGATATATATTTATATTTCAGTTCCTTTACAATTTGAATAGAAGTTGTAAGCCACACATTTTGCGAATAGTTTGATATTGAGTATAAACCCATAGGCTGTTTAATATTGTAAAGTGTTTTACTTTGATACCAGCACACATTAAAATAAGGCTCATTTGCAGTTATATGATCAGCTTCAGTGATATTTAAATTTTCAAAAATAGTCTACACGTACGAAAACATTCTTTCACAACCGCACGCCACATCTCATACTATATCTTCCCTACAGCAGGAAATATTTGTGTATACTGAAAAATTTAATACAGGATACATTTCCAAGTGTTAAATTTGTTTTTAAAATTTGGTATGAATACATTGTGGAACTGTCGGTTAACTTCACTGAACAAAATTGTTTTAACTGTACTGTTTTGAAAGACAAAATTAATTAGGGAGAACTTTTCTCACAATAGAATTTGTAATGACTGAATTGTGTGAAAATGTAGTTATCGATGTGTGACATTTTTCCTTGTAATAAAAGAAACAGAAAGATAGGAAATTTAACTTGAGTAGAAAATGATTGGATGTACTGTCATGCGCATTTGAAGAAGTATATCCCCCATTAAAATTAAAAATTATTGACTGAATGTGTGTTATGTCACAAATGCCGATGTAGAAAAGGAATTTTTATTTAATACAAGAAGTTCGAAAAGGAGAACACTAAGAAGGAAAATTTAAATTTTTTCCGAAAAATATTCAGTTAACATAAAAATATCTTTTATATGATTTTAATTAAAATAAATTAAAAGTATTGAAATGCTTTTTTATGCTATTTTAAATTAAAAATATAACTGAATAGAGAAAGATCGGTTTTATTTCATAAATATAATCATCGTATGTACCATTTATTGTGTTATTGTTTAAAAATGAGATAGGGCCTTTGCTCTTTTTACCTCATTACTTTTTTAAAAAACAGGAAAGTGAGCGCGTTTTCTTACTCTCATATTCAAAAATGAATACAGGATGCTTTTTTCTGGTTCAAATCGCAATACCAAAAAAATATTTTTTTTTTTTTAATTTTTAAAAAATGACAGAAAAATAAAATTTGTTTGAAGAAAATATAATTATTTTTCAACTTCTAACATACTATTTATTTCATTTTTTCCTTTTTTTTACCCTGCATTTTGTTTTAATTTTACTGTGACGGAACATATAGGAGAAAGAAACACTGAATTCCACTACAGTTTCATACAAGATTGCCCAAGGCAACTCTACAGCTAGCTGTAAACGATTGATCTCTTGGTTCTTACTTGACAAAGTAACCGAACTAGGTCATAAAATTGTCCCCGTTCGACCTCCCAAGTTCTAAAAGGGGGAAAGGAAAGAAGGCTGTTGCATTTTTAAAGCGATCTTCAAAATAAGAGTTAACGCTTTCGGAATAACTTTTCAGTAGGAAGGTATCCACTTAGAGGGTTAAAAGATGAGCCTCTATATTACGAATTTTCCATATAACGAACTTTTTTCCAGGATTTAGTGACTTTGTTATATAGAGGTCCGACTGTATTTATATATATATCTTGTTCTAATTTTCAATCATTAATAAAATACTTTTTATTCGTCCATTCAAGTTCAAATACATTTTTTTAAACTTGTAGTGGATGACACTTGATGTTAATACAGTTCTTTCAAATATTAATTCAATAATTCTATTTAATTAATAAATAAATAGTAACAAACAAAAATAATTATCCAAATCTTGAACTGGTTTCCTATGTAAAAAGGAAAATCGCTTGTTGTGTCCCTGCAGTGCAATGGATAGCATGTTGGACTTCTAAACCAAAGGTAGTGCCTTTGAATTCCACCTGGGATGACCTAATTTCTGAGAATGTGATTTCTTTTTACTATACTATTTTATTGAAATAACTCAATTTTTTTATTTTTTTATTAATGAATAAATAGTAACAAACAAAAGTAATAGTTCAACACCATATATAGAAATAAAAATTGAAAATTTCAAGAAAAATTGCTTTTTATTTCACCAATTAATATTGTGATTCTTTCATATGTATATACATATTTATATTAATTGTAATTATTTAATAAAAAGCAAGTAAAATAAAAATTTTCTTTATTGACCTAAGTAGGAATTGACTTTAAAAAATTTATATTACTTGTTTTTGTAATGATTTACTATTTACCAATTAAAAAAATTAATTAAAAAATTATAACAATTTTAATAAATTTATATTATTTAAAAAGTAAATATCAATTATTGCAAAGTCTAACAGCAAATGAAAATGTGATAATGATATACATTTTTAAAAATTAGTTATAAAAATTTTTAGCTTAGATGATAGTTTATTTTTATTAAATCATTTAATATCATGTTTTTAATCATTTAAGTTTAAATAAATTTTTATTATTGGTAATACAGTTGTTTAACTTATTTATTTTCTTAGTATGACATTGATTAAATTTGAGTTATTGTTGTCTTGCTTATTAATTGATTTGGGGGAAATTCTACTTTTAAAATTGAAAACATTTTGAATTATTTTCAATCGTCATGTTAAACAATCTTTGGAGAAACTATATGATTTTATTAATAGTAATATTTTAGTAAATAAATTGATGTGTAAAATTGTATTTATTTAAACCTAATAGTATTAAATTTTTTTAAAAAGATTTACTAAATATATATCATAATTATACTTCGCCATGTTATACTTTTAAACTATTATTTTAAATGTTTTTTTATTAAAAACTATTAAAAAAAACTTAATTTTTTAAAATTAAAAACTACTGCTTCCTTAGGTTTTTAAAATTAAACTCTTCTCTCTCTGTATTGAAACAGATTTAGCTAATAATTTATTATTTTCTCAGGAATTGCAAATTAATTTGAATTATCTTAGGAGTTCTAAAAAAATACTCAATATAAAATTATATAATTTGCTTAGCATCCTCTCCTGACCTACATTTTGAAATATTGTATATTCTAATTATAATTAATGAGCAATAGAATTATTTAGAAATAACTTTTTAATTACAAGTCTACTTAAATTTTGATAAATTCTTTATTCTGAATTATTTAAAATGTATACATTTTTTTATTATTTTTCTTGAAACTATTTGTAATAATATCGGAAATTAATACTTTTTTTGTCAATAGATGTTGATGAATGTAGAACTACTCCTGGTATTTGTGCAAATGGCCGTTGTATTAACACCAGGGGGTCATATCGATGTGAATGTTTTCCTGGTTATCAACCATCAAGAACTCAAAAAGAATGCATTGGTATTTCATTCTTGCTTAATTAATTTCTAAAGTTCCATATTTTTTTATAATGACATGCATTTATTTAATTGGAATGCTTTAAGAGAAATTTTAACACTGTTTGTCTTATTGAGATAATGTATTTCATTAAAATATTTATATTGGTGTGTTAAATAATTTCATTAAAAAAATGGGGAGTTTTTATGTAAGTTAATCAAATAAAAAATTCACATATTTAAATTTTTGAGGCTGGATAATTTTTTAAAATTATTATTTATTACTTTTTCTACTTTTTGCGATAAAAATAAATATATTTCAGATAATAGCATTCCCCCCCTCCCTTTATATATATATTAATCTGTTATTATTTTCCCCTTGTAGATGTTCGTTCTGGAAATTGCTTCAAACTTCCATCATGTCCAAGAGATTCTCAAGATGTAACTGAAATGACAAAAGTAGACTGCTGCTGTGGTATGGGTGCAGCTTGGGGACCCAGATGTGAAATGTGTCCGCAGAGAGGAAGCAGTGAGTTTTCATGCATATTTATTCTTTTCAGATAGTACACGTGAACAAAAATTTTAATCACTTATTGTTTTTTAAATGTTAAAATTTATCATAGTTGTATTAAGAATTAACATGACAAACTTTCACAATCAAATTTTTGAATTCTCCTTTAATGTAATTTTGATTAAAAAGAGATGAATAGTTTCACATTTTTTTTTTTTTTTTACGAATTGAGTTTCCTTGCTTTTAGATTTCAATGCAGTTCCATTAAAAAATTTAATTTAAGGGAGAATTTTTATTTAATAAAGCAGTTAACTTTTAAATACTTAATGTTTTGCTTAGGAATAGTAGTTATCTGTTTAAAATATTAAAATGTTTATGTGTATATATATATATGGCTTTAAAATAGGAAATAAATTTCACTATAAGTATTTCATGATTAATTTCTTATTATACTTATAGGTATATCAATATGTAAACAATTTTATCTCAAGAAATAGTTAGCACTAGAGTTCTTAAGATATTGATGGGAGATTACTGATATTTTTTACCGTAAAATCCAGCATATAATGTGCACATACTTTCTTGCTGAAATTTTTAATTTTTAGGTATATTTGCCGTATAACATTCATCTAGGGTTTTTCATACTGTGATACTGAGTACCGGTGTTTTGAGTCATTTGTATAATTTTATAATACCAGTGTTCACAATCTTCAATACTGATTTTTGGATATTTACTAGAAGTTTTTTAAATTGTCTCCACTATATGCTCAGGGATCGCCAACATAGCAAAATAGTATGCGTTTTTGTTTTTATGTCTTCCTTACGGGCGAAATTAGACTGTGAATATAAAGTTGCATCATACAGTCAAGAGAAGTGATAAAATATGTGAATTATCCAAGGAGAAGGGCGAAAACTATCCTAATACAGCTCAGAGCGGTACTGCACACGCGTAGGATTCGTAATCTGATATTCTTATCTGTGAAACAAGGTTGTAGTTGTGAAAAAAGTGTGTAATATTTTGATATTTTTCAAATTGGGGAGTTTGTTATTCACATTGTATTTGCATATCATACTTCTATTTATCATATCATCATGATTTTACGTATGAAAATGAAAAAGAAAAAAAAAAGAGACTAACCAATTCAAAAGAATTTATAGCAGTTATCGAAGATGATGATGACACTAATATGAATAGTGAAAAAGAATTGTCTCTTGAACAAAAATTAGAATTAGTGATAACTAAAAAAATTTCACCAAACCAAAATACAATACAATACATGAGAGAGAGAGAGAGAGAGAATCAGCTATATTCAAAACCATCCAACAAGAAATCAATTTATTTGAAGATGAGAGATTTAAAGGAAAATACTTGGAAAAGAGTATATCGCATATTGTTAACAATACCACCAACTAGGGAAGATGCCAAAAGAGCATTTTCAACAGCTGCTAATTTTTGCTCATAATTATGCTCCAGGCTTAATTACAGTACAATTAATGCATTGTTTTTTTAAGATTACATTTCAAAAACTTGTAATAGTACCACAGACTGAATAGTGATATTTACACTTTTTTGTGATTTAAATAAATAAGATGTTCCTTTAATTTTTTGTGATTCCTTATATACTGTTATAATTTATAAGTTAAACATTTTTTCTGATATTTACACTCTAATAAAACTGGCAAATAAAACAAAGAAACCCCTGTATTTTTTTCTTTTCCTAAAACTTCTACTACTGGTATCCCAGTATTAAGATCTAAAAAATACTGAATACCAGTATTGAACTTTTGATCCAATATTGCAATTCCTATGTACATCCCCTTATGCTTTGAATTCATAAGACATGTCTTTTCTTTAAGATAAATAATATTTCGATATATAGAGAAGCTTAATTTTCTTTTAATGTTCTTCTTGTTATCTATTTTTAAAACTCTCATTTTTATACCCAGCACAAAACATGCATCCCTAAATTTTGGTCTTATTTTTTATGAGTTAAAAGTGTGCGTTATATGCTGGATTTTATGATTTATGATTTAACTGTTATAAATTTTATATCAGAATGGTTTTTATAAAACAAATACTGCTGACAACAAAAATGAGAATTCAATATTGATTTTGAAAAATTGGAACTCATTTCTTAAAAAAGTAGCAATATGTTAATTTTCAATATCTATTATTAATTTGATAATAATTTTTTAATTCTTGTAAACAAAAAAAAATACTAAAAACATGAAGATTTTGAATAAAAAACAGCTTTTTAAAAGAGAAATATGTTAATTTCTGATGTTCTTTTGTTTTACACTTAACTTAAATTGAAAAATTTTTAATTTTTAGAAGTGAAAGGAATGCTATGGCATTGCATTTGAATAAAAATTAATTTAACACTAATATTTTCTTCACATTTTAGAAGCTTATGCTGACTTATGTCCTCATGGTGTAGGATTTGATAAAGATGGTAGAGGTAAATATTTTTATTTTATATATTTAAGGAGAGTTCAATCAAGCTACTTATTTACATTTTAATTACATAGAATTTAACTTTTGCTTTTACAATCCTAAAATTTTTATTTCTTATAAAGTTGTATGTTTCTTGTAAGTGTTTTATTTTTGTTCTTAATTTTTTTTAAAAAAAAATGTATGATAATATAATAAATTAATAAAGGAATATATTATGAAAAAAAATAATGCCAATTGTTCTTAGATTTTGCATAAATTTATTTTCATTATGTTTCACTACTAATTCACATAATATAAATTTGACAGTTTTATTATCTATTGTGAATGTATGAAAAAGTGTAAATATTAAACATAAATTCTATTTTCTCTAACACTAAAATTTGAAAACTGCAACAATTTTTTATTTTCATTCAGATAACTCTTGAATCAAAAGAATTAAATTAACTATATTTTGTCTCTGCTCTACTATTTTTGATTGTTTTTAAAAAGCTATATGAGAAGTAGACTCATTATTTACAGTAAAAATATTTTGTTTTAAAATTTATATACTATCAACAATTGTTTTAATTCGTTCCTTTTTTCCTAACAGTGCGAGTCTTCTTAGAGAAATTAAAGCCAGTTCACTAAAACTTTTAAA